TCCTCATTGTTCTTCATCAGCAGTTCTTTCGGTCGATGCGTCGTCGACTTTGGAAATCAACCGTTTCGTGATGAGTGTGTGAGTGCTGACCACGTTTTGTGTCCATTGCTGCAATGGACGCGCTCTGACCCTCGTTGGCGTACAAAAATTTGCCATACAATGAAACTACTAGAAGCGGCTCCAGTTCTGATGGAGGAGACTTTTTGGATAGCGGAAGATAAAGTGTTTATTGTGTTGTACTTTTTGACTATAGTTATAAGATGTATTGTATAGTGACCAAGAATCCTCGGCTCTGTAAAGTTAATTCGGTTGAGCCTTATCAAATAAATTAATAAACAACAGCCGTAGATTTGACGTAGGATTACGTGCTCGGTATCAATATTTGGCGACTGTGTTAGGGAAACCACCTTTTCTCATCACGGAAACGCCTCGTTTTCTGATGACTATATTACTGAAGCGAAAATTTATTGAAGGAACTTCATGCTAAAATTTTCCAGGCGAGATTTTTTTTTGCTGTTTTCTAGCGTCCTGGCGAAAACCTTACTTTAATTCGAAGTGTTTCTGGTTAATAGCCAAGGTGATGTGGTATTCGGTCAGTGTGAGAATTTTCATGTACCACTTCAATACTGTTACGCATTTGCCAACAAACGTTTGATTGCTGGATACATTATCAAAGAGCTTTGGGGGTGATGTGGCTGGCAGCAAGGCGAGCGAACGTTCATTGAAAATTATCCGATCAGTAGCGGTGCGGCTTCTTCCTCCTTCTTCGGTGATTTGAGCGTTCTTGAGGGCAGCCTTGATGGCTAGCTGCTTTCGGGGAGCCTGCGAAGATAAATGTACAACGCCACGCGCCGAAAGCACTGCTGCTGATGACGACTGGAAACCATAACACACCACACGTGGTGATTGAATAAACACCGTTCGGCGAGACCGGATGGAATTCGATTTTGAAATCTGTGTTAGAGAAAACTCTCTCAGTGATAATTTTAATTATCATAGCAACAGTTGCACATTTTTTTAACTTTTGCTAATTGATAAAGTCTTAATTTTAACAGATTCGTAGAAAAATGTCCTATCTATTGGCGTATTAAGAATTAAAATTCATCATATCTGGATCAAAATCAGACCACTTTTATGCAGCGACATACTTTCGTTTTTGAAATTGCACCCCCAATTTTCCCAAGGTATGTTGGATTTTAACTTATGATATCGGTGATAATTTTGATCACCATTGCAATAGTTGGACATTTGTGTAATTCTCAATAGCAACCTGGCCACTTTTCGCAACGAGGTGGAATATGGTTTTTTTGAAATTGCACCCCCAATATTATACCGAAAGACGTAATCCTCGACCTTCTCCGATTTCAATTAATTGTTTGTTATGGGCAATAAATTACATTTGTGCTGAAATTTGGCACTTTCGGATCTTGTAAATATGGTCAAAATTATGTCTCTGACTATTTTTTTTATAAATTAGAGCAAGAAACCGTCACTTCTAATTGAAATTTACGTCTGAGACAAAGTCTTTTTTGGAAAAAATATACACAGTTATTTTTTTATTTGTGGTTTTGAGTAAATATTTCAAAATAGAGTTGGGAGGAAATGCTATACTACTATCGACATGAAGCTTAAGTGCGATAATTTATTAGCTAGAGAAAGAACTGAAGAGGATAGATTGATAGTTCCGTTAGAGTACGGCAGTTTGAAAATTGAACAGAAGTTGAAATTGAGCGATGGGCCATTGATGTGACAATACTAATCAAACGCGCTTTCCTTTACCTAACTCACACTTTGATGCATGAGGGGATTTGAGGTATGTCTTCAAATTCACAGGCAAAAGGGTGTGCGTTTGACTTGTTCATATACTGTCTGGGGTTGTGGAATAGTTATAGCAACGTATTATCACTACCTAAAGCCCCAAGTTACTCCGTTCTCTCGTCATGACCTACGTTGTTAACACGTGTTTGGAATTTTTACCAAACATTACTTAAAAAAAAACATACTCTGCAAATTTCTCCTAAGAAACTATGATTTTCTCCAAAACTTTGTCTGAGACGTCATTTCCATCAGAAGTTACGTTTTCGTGCTACAATTTATTAAAAAAATGTGAAAGACGCCAATTTGATAAAATAAATAGCTCAAAATGCCCAGATTTTAGCTCAAATGTGAATGATTGCTTATATCAAGCAATTATGCAAAGTTTAATGAAAATCGGAGAAGGACAAGTCAAACATTTTGTTCGCAAAGTTTGTGCTGAAATTCAATTTTCAATAAATCATAGCATGAACACGGTTCATCTAATCGAAATGACGTCTGAGACAAAGTTGTATGAAGCAGGATTACCTGTTCAAACTTAAATATTGGACACAATGGACGCTTTTAAATTGACCAAAATCGTGTTTTTTTTTCACGTAAAATGTATGTAATTTGTGCATAGGAAACAATTGTTTGGACTAACATAATAAAAGGCAATTGAAACCATCTTCAACCATAGGTTGCACAGACTGAGCACTTAACACTAGACAACGGGAAACACACAACACCTATCAGACCAGTGGGTAAATTTCCATTTGCAAAAAGTTCCGCATGCTGGAGCGGGAATTGTACCATCACGCGAGGGGGACGACTCTATCTACGATGAAAAAAAGATTGTGTTTTGCTGTGGCTCGCTGCACGCACGCTGAGTAGATATAAAGAAGATTGATGACGATTCTGAAGATTTCCTGCAAAAAATTGATGAGCGATGCAAGTAGATGCGACAAATGAAAGAAGATTGTTCGAAGATTGATTCGCTAGTGTGAGATTTTTTGACCATCTAAACTTGAGACTTAGATGTGTCGCCCCCCTAGCCATCACGTACACACAATACGCCTTAACGACGGGTGACTAATATTACCGACAAGCAGGTACGGTAACATACCTATTACATAATCAAAACTAAAGACATTATATCAAGAAGACTGGCAACTTTTCCAGGATACAAAAGACATATACAGTAGCGCTGCGCTTGAGACAAGGTGGAAGCACCGCATAGACAAATTTGCAACTACGCATTAGGGATGCCCAAAAAAACATTTTTCTTAAGAAGAATTGGGTGCTTTTTTTTCCTTTATTTAACGTCGGTCTCTATTCCGAAATCTAGTGCCAATCACCGACGGACATCGATTGCCATCCATTGCCACATTGCAATCGAATGTGCAGGAAGGCAGCTTCCACACCTGCGTAGGATGTCGCACCCATTCAACACACATGGGCCGGGACCAACGGCTTTACTTCCCTTCCGAAGGAAGACGTGACCAGAGATTTTTATGCCTCAGAAAAATCCCACCGACCTCGGCTGAGATTGAACCCAGACCCATCGGGGTGTTAGCAAGCAGTCACGCCTACCACTACACCACCGGCGCCGGCAAGAATTGGGTGCTAAACCTCCAAATGATAGCCAACAATTAAAAAAAAATATATGACAGCCACTCTGAAAAACGAGAAAGCCAATGAAATTATAAAAAAAAATCGTTTTTCACTGAACAAATATTTCTAATCCATTGAATTTAGAGCAACACAAACCTTTTTATATATTTCACACATTCCTTGGAGTCAATACTGAATAAAATAAAATTATCTTGCCAAATAGATGTTCCAGTCATTTTTTTTTTAATTCTCAGAAATCACGATATCTAGGTGCATAATTTTTATTGTTGTTTGTTTATTAAGGAGACGGGTGCATAATAACATTCAATCATCAAAACTGCATAGATGCATAGTTGATTTAGTGCTCCTAAAAGATGGAAAATTTCAAGAGAAATGATAAGTATATTTCTGCATATTTCCTTTCAAAATCTTTATATGTTTGCAATATCACACAAAAACGCTCAATAAATACTATTTCTTTTTAAAAATAATCGAATCAGTATGTCAAAATAGAACTTATCTGAGAGTTTTTCTGATGTATGCTGCTGATAAATATCAGTATGTAAATCAAACTCGTTCATGAGTCCAGCTTCGGTTCAAATTATCCTAAATAAAAGAAAACAATCAATCAAAAGTCCAGCCAATCCAAGTATTGGGATGCCTAACACTGAGAAAAAACCATGTTCGCCACATATTTGTTTCATGCAGATCATTTAGGGGTAAGGGACAACAAATAAATAACAAGCGCCGACAAGTAAAAAATTGATAAAAAACATATTTAATGATGAGTTAATTAATATAAAAAAGTGTAGTTTTAGGTAACGCACAATTTAATTTTGTAAACAATTTGTTTGTTCCTTCTATATTATGTAATTTGGGGGTTTTTATATTCTCATATTTTCAGTCGAAAAACCAGCACGTTAAATTGCACATCTCATTATCAAATAATATTACAAAAATCAATCAAACTTAATTAAAATTTCCATACTGTTCGAGTCCTACTAACTGATTCGGTATAAATCGAAATGATGGCAACTTTCCGCTGGGTGTTAAGCGCGCATATTTCCATCCATTCCTGCTACTGCTGCTGCTCTCGATTGATAGGACACACATGATCTTGGTAGGCCACGATGCATTCAAAGTAGGGTGCCTCGCCTAGCTTGCTTGGACGACGAGCATTTTCGACGAATAATCTCACCAGGCCTGCTGCGACGTATCCGAGCCTTCGTTGTTCGGTTTTCGTCTTGGGTGGATGTGGCTACACTGTCTCATGTTGTCTAGTTAATTTATATAAAAAGCCTACACTCTGACCAGTAGCAGAGTGAGCATTAAATTGTGCATCGAATTTGAGAATGAATGAGTAAGCAGAGTGCATTAACGCATACACGCACATGGTGCATATATGCAACCAACTTCTAGGGAGAGTGAGTCCGCGGCGAGTGCGAGAGCGTGTGCATCATTACAACTACACTCTTGCTCCGGAGCAGTGTTGCTGTTAGCTGCTAACGAAGGAGTTTGAATCAGACAACTCGGCAGGCAATGAGGGTTGCCACTGCTTATTGCTTGTGTTGTGTACAGCAGGAGAGCCCGAGTATTTTATTCGCATTTTATTATGTATTATTATTATAAAATGACTAATACAAGAAGAGAGTGCGGAGAGTGGAATATTATTAGCGGGCGCACATACACCGAAAATGACGATGAGATCGAGAATAATAAAGCTCACGGCACGCGGAGACGGAGACACATGTGGAGTGTTGTACTGAACGGGGTTTTTCGGAACGTGCTGGAGAAGCATAATAACACTTAGCAGTCAGTTAACGACGCTAGGTCAGCGCTAACGGATGTGTCCCTGCTTGTAAAACAGGAGGTGGCGTAGTAGAGTACTCATTTGTGTGGTTGCAGCAAGGAAGAGTTGCGTTTGTTTTACGTTGTACGACTCATCAAGATATCATTGGTGCCATATCGGAGAACGTGAGCATTGCTGCAAGGAAGGATAATCGTCACAGCCATCTAGGATAGGAGGCTCGCCCACGGTGTGTGACCACCCATAATCATAGGAGGCTGAGAACACGCACCTTTCGGCTACTTTCCGACCGATCAGAGCAGGCGAGCGACGGACGGGATCTGACGCAAATTATTATTACTGTTTGAACGGTCGCCGGAATCGTGTGCACATTTTCGGAGTCGCGCGCTGTGACTTTGGACTGTAGTAGATACCAACGACACGGAAAGACACAACCGTCGCGCGTTAATTACCGATAATGAGATAAAAGCGTACGAGGAGTATCAGGTTGTACCTCGCAGTCGATGACAAATGGTTGTTCCCGAACAATGTCATGTGTGTGAAATGTGAATTTATGGTGCATTGGAACGTGATTCGATTCGCTAATGAGTGTTGATTTTTAAGGTGTGCTGCCTGCCGGGACCGAGGTATGATTCGCCAATCGATGGCAGTTACTCGTGGCGGTCGTTCAAGGGCCTACTGATCCAGATTTTGAAGTGTAAATCAAACGTGAATCCTATCAACTTTCGACGAAGAGAGTTCAACGGTGAAAATAATCGAATTTTGAAAACGATCAGCTGAGAGCAAGTGTCACAAGAAGTGAAAAACCATTCAGCCTATACAATAGTGCATACAGCAGCAGCGGTTTGAAGAAATAAAGTGCTGTGTCAGGTGTCACTTGAGCTGCACGTTCCAGAACGAAAGACAAGGTGAGTTATGCTACTCTAGACGAACGCCTCGTGTCAGGCAAAAAGTGATAGAGCGTAGCATCAAAACAACAACCTGCTGTTTGAGTAGAGTTGGGGAGAGAGCGAGTGCAGATTTGAATTAGTGTACGTAACATTTTTTAACGCTGGTGGTCTAGATGAATTCTATAGACTGCCGTCGGGCTGAGCGTCGGTTTATGCCGGTTGCAGTTCCAAGCCACCCGAAATATTTATATGTCATCACATAAATTTTGACGTTTGAATAATAAATATGTATTTCAAGAGTCGGAAACTCACGTGCTACTCCAAACAGCCCAAAAAAAAAAAAGCGACGCACGCTACATGGGGACTGAGAGACATAGAGCCTCCGCTAGCCCCACTATCGTCGTTGGGGTCGTCGTTGTCGTGCCCGGAGAGCGACTGAGTTGGTGTGAGCAATGCTCGATGATGATGTCGACTGCGACGACGACGACGATGACGACGACGAAAGCAGAGCGAGCGCGAAAAGAACCCCACAGTCGGATGGTATATAAAACATCAAATTTCCGCGTATTTGTATAGTCAGCCCCTCTTCTTCCCAGTCGAGGGCAGAGGGTTTATCCTTTTCCTCCCCTCCCGTTCCATAGCAATCGATGGCTAGTAGGAGTGGTGGGTTCGTTTCCCGTTGGTTTCGGTTGTCTTGTAGCTTTCTAGCCAGGGAAAGCTAAGAAAATCAACAGATTGGTCAGTAACACACTTGGTGATTGAATGAAGTGCTACGTCACTGGAAAATATCCAATGTTACTTTTTCTCATAATGTCGGACATTGATGGCAAATAGTGGCCGTCGGTGGGTTTCAATTTATAAGATTACCGTAAATATTTATTTGCTCTGCTAAAAATCACACACAAGTTTCCATTAAGGCTTAAGAACCTTATTGATTGCAATGTAACTGAAAGTTTAAAACTTGTAATATTGTTTTATCGATGTGATGTACGGACAAATATTAAGTAGACTTTATATACATACATTTCATGTGGCATTTCTACGACCGTCGGTTAACCCTCGTGCAACAAAATCGCAGATGTTTATTAATGAGCGATTTAACTTTTCTATGGAACAGAAAATTAGTAACGGTTTTTATAATATGTTGAGTTAATGACCCAAAACAGGAGCTATTTTTTATTTATAATTTATAAAGTTAATCAAAAAACAATACTGAATGATGATGATGATGGAAAATAATGCGGTATGTGTCACCAATTGAACATCTTCTGCGCTACAGAACTTTAATGTTCTAAATTCCTGTAACGTTGTAAAAGCTTATTAACTAAGTTTATTGCACTCATCAAATTAAAACCACATTACATTTTTGAATGTATACATGTTGTTAAAAAAAATATTTCAGGGAAAATGCTGATTCTTTGTTAGGGCACCCGCAATTATATACACTTAGAAAAATTGATGTAAATTTAGGTGCTCTGAGACTGACATATACGAGTGTCAATTGTGACATAAAATTGAGTCAAAATAGACGCGAAATTCAGCTCAATCAAACGTACTTCGAACTTTTCAGTCTCGGAGCACTGAATTTTACATGACATGTTTGTTTACGTTTCATCCTTTATGTCAAAGATGGATTCCGTCACGTGTAAGATTAGGTATTTATAAGTGTGTAGGATCATTTTCAATTCAAATCTTGTTCATATTGTTTTTTGCGAATATAAAATTATGTGTTGCGTATACCGACTAGGTAGCTTAATTATCGTGCTCCCGGCATATGAAATTTATCTTTAATCGCGCTTTTCTCGAAACCATGTTTTTCAAGTCGGGTTGAAACGAAAGTCATATTTCTAATTGATTGATCGACTTGATTTTTTTGTACCGTTCCGATTCAAATTTCGGACGATTCAAATTTCGGCACTTTCATTTTTAATTAAATATTACATCCAGTTAGAAACAAAGTAATAATGTTAGATGATCGTGGAGGGCACTAGTCAAAAAAATTTAAAATTTACAAGACATGTGGATCATATTCGACCGAGATAATCAACTTTTAAAAGTGTCCGAAATTCGAGTTTAAGTGTCCGAAATTTGAATCGGCACGGTAGCTTGTTCTACATACTGATCTTTATGTTTGAAGGTTTTTGTTGTTGTTGTAATTAACCATTATATTTGATATTTTTGCCTGAAAATCAAACAACTTTTTTCAAACGCGTACCATTTTATCAAAAATTTCAATTTTTACAACATTCTAGTTTATGAAACTTTTATCCAATTTGATCTAGAACTACCTCCGACTAAAAATCATTTCCGTCCGCAAACCGCTTCACGCCGAGGATTCCATCACTTAGACGACTGCAGTGCCACCTCGCTGCACATTTCAAAAGCCAAAATTTGAGAAAATATTATTTAAAATATTTTCAATTAAATGTTGAAAACCGCATTCTTTTAAAGTGTTTCTGTTCGCAAAAAAAAAATGCATTGAATTTGGCATGTTTGTTTGATTTTACATGTAATATTAAATTAAAAAAAACCAGCTTCAGTTGGTAGTAATAGTAGTAGTTAAAAATTACATCATATTTTTATCTGTGAATATTTTAAGTTGGACACTTAAGAATTAACAAAATTTATGCTTATAATCATCGAGAGAAGCCATTGTTTACAAAAGCTATTACGCCCTAATTACAGCTCTATCTAGATTTGTTCAACTGGTGGAAAAAAAAGAAATCGAATGTCTGCACTGCCGGTCACGGCGAGTCCGTCCCATAAACCCCGGGAGCTATTTGGCAGTTCCAGTGTGATGTCAATGTACCCCTAAAATTCTGATACAAATCGAATAATGGTGGAGTAAATCTACAATTGGTTTTATTTTTAATCAAACCATGTTTCACGTTTTTTTAGTTTGTAGTTTTTCAATTTTTTTTATAAATTTTTTTTTTTATTAGTCTTCCAATCGACTCAGCTTGAAGGGATCGAAAAATGTCTGTCTGTATATGAGTGTGTGAGAGCTCGTAACACAATTTTCTTAAACGTTTTTCTCGGCAACCACTCTACCGAATTGAACGCCACCAAATAAAAGGTATTATAATCACATTGAATGCTGTTGAACAAATTTAGAGTCGGTCAACTATTTCCGGAGATATGGATGGTACAAGTTCCGAAAAACATGGATTTAGGGAACTAAGTTGTATCTCTTGAAACCACTAATACGAATTGCACACAGTAACCACCAAATGAAAAGATATATGATCCCATTGTCTCGCCCATAGAACATTATTGAACATGAAGTAATGAAATTGGGCTGTTGACGGTAAAACAGTTAAAAAGGTTATCTTCAATTTAATTCCACTTAATTATATTTTTTCCGGGCATGGACACCAACATTAATTAAGTGGAATTTAATTAAAGTTAGCCTTTTTTGCTGTTTTATATTGAAAAGATACAGAATCGGTCAACTGGTGCTGGAAATGTGGCAGGAACATGCTCCGGGGAATGTGATACCATGATACTGAATTTGACCGGTAAGGAATAAAACCTATCATGTGACAGAACAAATTACTTCAAAATACAAAATTAATCAATGGTGGCCGTTTCAAGTGCCGTGGACCACACTGGTCAGTTCCAGGCATGTCCCAGATGACCCCGGGTAATCAACCAGACTATGATTTTATCAAATCGATCAAATTCCAAGATATAAGGAAAACAACGCAACATCAGAAATACGTCTCACTCAAAATTTATTCTTGGCTTGATGTGAACAAAGATGGCTGACCCCATAATTTACGTACGGTGGAGACATCTACAATTTGTAAGAGGGTACGTGAAACTAAGGTTTTCTACAAAGAAAGGAACATCAACGTCATGCAAACGCTTATCCAGAAAGTGTCTACTCTGACGATTGAAAAATCAACAACGATTTTTTCTTCCTCTAATCATTTTAGATTTAGTGTGTTCGTTTATGTCAGTTTAATCTAGTAAACAATGGTATAATTTTTGACTTCGTTTTGAAATGACCGTTAGCTAAGCAGTTCATCCAGCATAATACGAACTGTTGTTTTAAAGCTCACACAAAATTGTACGAACAAGATTTTTTGTTTATGCATGAACTGGACATATCTAGATTAACATTTCAAGAGGTCCTGTCTGCATTTATCTATTAATTTCAGGATTCAATCGATATTCTAATCGAGTAACCACAGTTTTGCAAACATGCTTCATGCTACTTGTGCTGAATGGTTTAAAGAAAAAAATGTAATCGTTTTCGTTTTCATCTTTGACTATTATGCCCCAACTAGAACTTTACGCTTGCTCTCAACTGAAGGGATAAGAGGCAAAGGGGTGCAAGTGATTTTGATTGATTCTCTTCATCGACTTTGTCTTTCGTTAATTACTCAGCGGCAAACATATTCCTTGATGCGGTTGCTATCCTGCAAGATAGATGATAACCTACTTTATCAAACTATATAGCAGATATAATGTGAAATCTGATGGTAAAACCGTGATAATCAAAAGTGAGAAAGTAGATGAAGAGAATCGATTAAAATCACTTGTATCCCATTGTCTCTAACCCCCTCAACGCAGTGTTATTTGAGCACTTCCACTGCTGTTAATGGAAAGCTTTTTAAGGCTGTACAATTTCTGCATTCGTATATTGTGTGGAAAGCACAATCATACCCTATTCCCAAGGAAGTCGAGAAGTTTTTAATCCCGAAAAATTCTTTGACTGGACCTTGATTTAATGTTATAAAGCATTTTACAAGACGATTGTGATCAGCTAACTTTTAAATTTATTATTATTAATTAGAAATATCTTCTGGCTACCACTCAAACTAAGAATTACGTTGCAGATTGTAAAATATTTTTGTTATTTACTAGAGAAAATAATAAATGTTTAGTACCGAGACTAGAAATAGAAGCGTCTTCTTTGTGCAGCAATTGATTGATTGATTTATCTTTATTAGGGAGGCTTTCAGCCTGGGGCTGGTTCGCCTCCACTCTTTGTGCAGCAAGATTTTTGTATT